ATATATATATATATATATATATATTTATATATATATATTCTGAACGTTTAAATTACAAAAGTGAATAATGAAAACTTTTTTTACATCTGCACCCTAATTACCGCACAATAGTTAATTAATCAAATAATGTTTAATTTCGGTGGGGTTTTTGTTCCCTTAACCCTTCCCAAAACTGCCCACATATTACGTAATTCCTGAAGACCACTAAATGAACTGGCCAACAAAGATGATTAACATTATACATTTTAATATTTATGGTGGTTAGTAATTTATAGGTGACAGTGGCACCTCGAAGGCGCCTTTCGATTGCACAGAGTTAAGAAGTTATCAGAGCTATGAAGGTCTTGCGTGTATCTTACGTCGCAATAAAGGTCTTATGTAACATCTATTTAAGCATAATTATTGTTATCTAGACCAGTTAGTCATTTTTCCTGGTACTTTTGAAATGGAAAATGCAATGAAAAAAATTAAGTCGACTGAATTTATAGTTTTGAAACTCTTCAGTCTTAAAATATTTAAGACATAAAATTTCAGAATAAAATAGAAATATTTGTTTTATCAATTTTGAAGAAAAGTTCTTTGTGTTCTAATTCCTCACACTTTTTAAGATACTTTTTACAATACTACGAAGTGTTGTACAAACGCAACGTCAGGATTAAATGGAGCAACAAAATGTTAATTTGATTTTTTATGTTTTAGGACCGCAGAAGTTTAATGAATAAAAAGAAAAGGTAAGGATGAAATAAATAATATTATTCAACACCGCAAAAAGTAATGAAGGAAGAAATATTTGTAAGAATGATAACAATTTTGTTGCCACTAAAGAAATATTTCTTCATAATTCATAAATTTAATGTTAACAAAAGGATAAAAAGACAAGAAAAACAGTATTAGTTTACTTACCGCACAGGACAATGCCAACTAAAATAAAATTTGACAATGAAATAAGTATTTTTACCAGGTAATATTTCATACTGAGATTAGTATATATACGTGGATACAGCCTACTTAGTACGTTTAACAGTGGCGTAGCTACTAAGGGGCTAGGCGGGGCAGTGCCCCAGGGCCCTCAAGCTCNGCCACTGACGTTTAAGTATAATTAAAGTGCTTAGAAAAAATGATATTGTTATGAATTAGGGTTCAAAATATTGAAATTCGCTTGAGAAGAATGCATTCTTAAGAACGTTACCTCTTTGTGCAAAATATCTCTTACTAAGAATCTGTGTTATTGTGTTATTTACATACTTTGTGTTACTTGCAATGCAAAGAGACTAAGTACGTCGCTAGTACACACAGGACATTGAGTGGATGCCAGCTAAATACGGCGCTTTTACACACAAGCCATCGCGTTTATGCTGGCTAAATACGTCGTAAGGCCTCAGACGTCCAGTTCCACTACAACGAGCGAACGAAAGGCTAAATACGGCCCTCGAAAGGGCTAAAATATTTTGGTTAATACGAATGTATTGCTTATCAAAGATTAATTCTATTAATGAAATATTTGAGTAACCAATCTTTATCATTTTTGAATAAGGACATGTTTCAAAAAAGGAAAATTATCGTTTAAATGGTTAATGAATAAAGTGCTACTCTAAATTTCTAAGCGATCAATCAAATTTGTTTCGCTTTATCTCCTAAACATTTGATCATTGACAAACTAATGATAAGTGAAGTAAAATGATTTCAAACTTTCCATGAAAAAATTTAAATTTTAAAGCATTAAAAATATATGATTCTTATGTATCTGAAAATGTTGTATTTCCTTATTGAAGGAATATGGCAATCCTAGAGTGTGACAATGCAAAATTTAAATGTAAGTTGTTCGTTCTAGAATGTGACGATGAAAAATTTAAATCTAGATGGCCTGTCCTAGAATGTGACAATGAAAAATGTAAATCTACATGGCCTGTCCTAGAATGTGACAATGTGAAATCTACGTTGCTCGTTCTGAATGTGACAAGGAAAAGCGCAAATCTACATGACTAGTCCTGGAATGTGTTAATGCGAAATGTTAATCTATGTTGCTCGTTCTAGAATGTGACAATGAAACATTTAACATTTTTCACTATATATATTTCATTTAATTTAAATATATTTCATTACATATATTTCATTCGATTTAAACAATTTTCATTATATATATTTCATTTGATTTAAACATTTTTCACTATATATATTTTATTTGATTTAAACATTTTTCATTACATATATTTCATTTGATTTAAACATTTTTCATTATATATATTTCATTTGATTTAAACATTTTTCATTATGTATATTTCATTCCATTTAAACAATTTTCATTATATATATTTCATTTGATTTAAACAATTTTCATTATATATATTTCATTCGATTTAAACAATTTTCATTACATATATTTCATTTGATTTAAACATTTTTCATTATATATATTTCACTTGATTTAAACAATTTTCATTATATATATTTCATTTGATTTAAACAATTTTCATTGTATATATTGGAATTGAGTGAAGAACGATTTCACATTTACGCTCAATTAAAATATTTAAATAGGTTGTAGATTTTATCAAAAATGCATAAACTTACTCAGAACGTGGCAAAAAATAAAGATCAAAATTAAACGGTTACTCATCTTTAGGCAACAGTTTTTTCTTTTAGAATACCAGGAAGAAAATTCTTCTTTTTCAGAAGGAAAGAAAAATTCCTTATTCTTATCGTTCAATCGTATTTTTTTTTTACTCAGAGCTTTGAATCTATAAGTAGTAAATCTCGAGCAAACTATTTCGCCATCTTTCTTTTATTATTCGATAATCTTTTTGCGAAAACTATCGGATGATGAAAAAGAAGTCGATAATACCCAATAGAGAGTGCGCAAATTGTATGAAAGAGTTACATAAATGTTTAAAAGTCGGTATTCTCGGATTTGCAAGTCGAGAGAGCTGTTTAAATTATTTAAGAACTTGCTACGGCAAACAAACGTGTACTTGAATTTAAAACTGATGTTTTCACAGAGCCGCCAATTTATCAAGTTTTCTGACAAGGTTTCATCTGTACTCTGGCTGAATACCCAGTTTCACTAAACATTACGAAATCACGCACAAAACTGAAAAACATAAAACCGACACGAAAGTTAAATAATTCAATTTTTTTATTTGTTATATTAGAGGTCATTTTCGGTGTTTTTATGCAAAAGAAGTTTATATTAATGCCTTTATCGAAGTTTTTAAAAGGTATTTAAAGCAAAAGAAGTATTTTTAATTTCATTCCATTAATATTAACTATATTCATTAGGTATTGTTCGATGCCAACTCATGATATTGTACACTAACCACTATTAAAAATTTTTTTTGGTACTTATCCCTTACAGGAACTTAAGAAAACTTAACGTTACGGCACCTATATTAGGTAACTTGGCAAGAAAATTCAATACCTATATTTGTACATTTTGTTAGTGTTTAAACAGCACCTAATTTTAATATATCTGTAGTACCTATTACAAAATTTAGTTAAGGTCTTTTAGCGTCAAAAATGGTATGAGTTTTTTTACTTTTTCCCAAAAGAATAAGTACATTTCATCATTAATGTTGGGTTTTAGTTCTTAACTTGTTCTTATTTTTAATTCAATTATTATTACATTAATTATCGTTTGCTAAAACATTGTTTCAAAAGCGTAACTGTTAACAAAATAAGCAGGTGTTTTCGGATTACATTAGGAATACAAATTTGGTGACGTAGTCCTCGAATGCTACTACTTTCACGTTGATCGTTAAATTATCTGACATGACAAATAAAAAATAGTTAAATATTAAGGAACGTGAAATGAACTCATTTTTTTAAATAAATAATTGAATAAAGATTAACAAACTTATGTAAAAAATAACAACATTAACTCTTTTAATAAAAGTGATATCCTTATTCCGAGAGGATCTAAAATAAATTTTGGTTAAATAATTTTAAGCCTTGTATCAATACCTTTGAAGTTTTTGTTTAATACACTCTCATCATAATTTTAATTTCAAATTAGTTAATAATTTTGTATAAGCTAATGTTAGGAATATTTTTTAGAATCATATTGAGATTATGAACGTAAGAATAAAAATCTTGTATGCTTGAAAACTGTAATAAGACATTTCGCCATACAGTTTCTTTCAAATTAGCTAAAATTGATTTGTAAAAACATTTTATACTATTCCCGATTTTTAAACTACATTAATATGCTGATAAAATATCAGATAACTTGTCTGAGATAAGAAATGCCAATAAAGTATAATAAATGCCACGCAGAGCATAAACAAACTAATTTTGCATCAAAATTTCCTGGTACCCAAAGCAAAAATATATCACGGTTACGATAAAATACATAAACAAGTAATAAATGTGTGCACTGTATTTAATTCACTTCGTTAATTAACATTCTAACTTGCACGGAGAAACTTAGCCCAACTTTAACACGCCAGTTTGTTAATAAACGATCAACTGGAGCTGACGTCATAGTTCATATGTTTGGGTATCATGGTCTTCTTCTTCTTAAGTGCCAGTACCCAATTTTTTCTTAAATTCTACTGTAAACTCACAAAAATATAGACCTGAAAGTTTTGCACAAAACTTATTATTGACACGGGTAAAATTGTAGTTGGATAAAGAAAAACATTTCAAGTAATAAGAAATTGATTCAAATAAAAATAATATTTATTCCTCATATTTTATTGAAAAAAATAACCCAATTCTTAAAACACCATATCATTGAGGTTCGCAGTCATTAATAAGCATTTAATAAATTTATTTTTTAAACAAATTAAAGGTGTAAAACTTGGGTGAGATTTTTTTATTTTGTTGTGAAACAAACAGATAATGTTTAGATATTTATTTTTCTTTCATTATTTGAATATGAATTTTAATTCGTTTTAGAAAGCGGCTAAAATAAATATTTATTCAAAAGGTATCAAAAGTAATCAAACGGAAATCATATGATTCGATAAAAAAACAAAGGTTTAGTGTAGAATCATGGTTTGGCAGAAATTTTAGTTCAGTTTTTCTGAAATCACATTTCTGGCTACCATGATACACTTTGCGGATCTTTGTTTATTTACTTATGGATGGTTGACTAAATGTAAACAGTAACAAATTTTCTAAGACCGGAAGAAATTTAGAAAACTTCTGAAGTACCCCTCCTCTTATGTTATGTTTACGAGGTGATGTTTTCAGAGACTTGATATTCTAGGAAGTTTCTTCATTGTGATTTTTTATTAAATTTGCATGAAATTTTACCATTTATATGAGTCTTCTAAAACTTATAAATCCCAACACGTCATGAACAGAAAAAATATTTAGGAAAATTAATATCACAGCATAATTAAAGTATGACGTTTGCCACGTATTGAGTGTTATCCCATATTTGGTTCTAATTGTATAAAATATCGCCAATCATAATTTTTTGGGTAGCATCGTAGCATGCCTGCGATGTCTTCAAAATTCATTTTTTATTTGTCTCACTGAAAGTTAAATTGAAAGAACGCGTAATATTATGAACACTACAAGTATAAAAATACTGCATGGCACGCTTTTCCAAGCTTATGCCTAAAAATCAATCGGAAGTAGTAACTCGTAAGTCTTACAGTGAATTTTAAACCCTTTGCTCATTACCTGTGTTTAGCTTTTTACGTTCAACCATCCACAAATTCGTTTATTTGCAAATCGCAAATAAACAAACCCCAAGATGTTAACAAATTTAGTAAATATTTTGTTTTGCTCATTTTCTTAACAAAATGACCATGATGACAAAATAAGGTACAATAATATTTTAACAGGTACATTCGAAATGATCATTGCCCTAATCGTCATTACAGCAACGTGCCATCAAGCACTGAGCCTTAGCGCTTATCCGAGGGCTTGTCCTGACATGTACAAAAGATTCCATCCGCAACACTCGGGCTGTATTGATCGCAATCCCAGGTGTAGCGAATTCCAGGCAGGCGTAGCGAATTACGAAATGTCCATCTTGACTGCCCATAACGAGGTCAGAAGAAGAGTTGCCTATGGTCAAGAAACACGAGCAGGTGGACTCCCACAAGCTGCAAATATGATGGAACTAGTAAGCTTCTTATTTTCTCTTTGTTTAGTAACAAATATTAAAGTTTTTACAAGGATTTATCATGTACAACTGATGGTATAATCATTTTTACGTATATTGCTTGAGTACAGTTGATGCTATAATCATCTTTCGTCTTTTATACTTCCAAGCTATTCTGCAACGCCTTCGCAAGCACAATATGTAAGAATAATGTTTTCTGCAACAGGAGACATGTTCAATTTACATCGTTCACCAAATTATTGTATCAGTTTTATTGCATGGACATATTTATTTCCATGAGTTGATTGTTGTTATATTTAATATGTTAGTGTTATCTTTGCTATATTAATGGTTTTTCATCGAATCTTTTATACCAACAACATAAAATATTGAAAGGCTATGAATGCTGTACTAAAACGAAATATCCGGAATTTAGAGATACCGAAATTCCATAGCAATTGAAGGGTGTGTTGCTATTTACTTGCATGTATCAAATATTGTAGATCCTCTTTAATGCAATGCTAAAAGAATATGAATCTTGTTGTAGAAGATGTCAAACTCTCGAGTTTTACAGAGCTTTATTTTTAAACATTTATGGTCTGTCTACTGCATTATTTTGACCTTCGTCAGACATGGACAGTAGCGAGAGGGTACCCCTCTCCCTTAAATTTTACAGCACTTTCAACCGCTGCTTACTTGACGTGCATACTGCAGTGCGATTGAAAAAAAAAACGTTAAGTGCTTCGCATTTGAGAAAAATGGCTAGATAATTATTTTCCTTCTATTGCTAATGACATGAACACTATAATAGAGTTTTAAAAACTGATACGGCAAAATTAATTGATTTTTTTCTTTTCTTGCAATGGGTAACTTATCATTCCAAATTGCAAAACATACATTAATCTCAATTTGAATTTTCTGTAGCTTACGCGGATTTTTCTGACGTAAGGCAGGATAGACGTCGCACGCACACGTAGATGGTTTTGGATCTAAGTCACAACAGCCAGGATCTAACTCACAACAGCTATCTCTCTGATGTGAGCGACACCCCCCATAACTGACTGACTACACCACCGGAGAGCTTACAGTATACTCTCGATATCTTGAAAACCTTGTTATGTCAAAAAAATATTTTTCCCTTCGGCATTATAGGGTAAACCAACCAGCGAAGGAACATTTCATATATATTGATTAAAAATAAGAATTTGAAAGTGTTTTTTTCAGATTGATTAGTAACGATAGCTTACTGCCAAACAATAGGAAGTCATCTAGCAATGTTTTGGATTATCTGGTCACATAGACTTCTAATCCAGAGCTAAAAA